CTCAAATGCTTCCCCCTGCCCACTTACCTGATTTGTGGGGTTCTTTTTCCTGTAACATCCTGTATACTTTTGAATTCAGTGTGGCTGTACAATGCGCCGCCATCACAGCAAAAGGGACTCATAGATGTAAATGGAGCACAAGTGCCATGATGTCATTGTGCTAGTAGTCCATTGATTACTCCCTCCAGCCCCAAAACTGAAGGTCTGTGCCTTGGTCCGCAGGAGTCTGTGCATTGCACCCATGATCCAGTTGCAATTCTTTGCAATGCAAAAAATTAATAAATGCACATTTTTTCTTTCCTCAATGTGGGTGCTTTAATTCATTTTTTTCACAAAGGCGGACTATGCATTAAGCTGTTTTGTCTGCCAAAGGATTTGTATTTTTTTCCCTTACATTGCTGAGATTTACACAGTCGTCAGCTGGATGAAGCCCCTTTCTCTGTACAGTTTTAGCGCCCATTCCTACTTGAGCATGAGCTTTTTTTTACTGGTGTTTTCTGGCTTCAGCATTTTAGTTTTAGCCAATGGTTTAGCTAGATATCAGGAGCAGTGGTTAGGTGCAGAGTCATGTGGAAAAGGTGTGTTTCAGGCAGTTCAGTTGCTCCCATTGAAGTCTATGGGGCCAAAAAGCGTGTAATTCTGCCCAAAAAAATGCCGATATACTTTTTCAAGCTCCAGGCAATACAACGCTCAGGTGTGAATGGATACCATTTAAAATATTGGGGTTCTTCATGTTGTGCATTTGTGAGCTCAGGTTGGCTCAGAACAGGCATTCCAATTTACCCCAAATGTGTTTGGTAGGGTTGGGGTCAGGGCTCTGTGCAGGCTACTTGAGTTCCTGCACATCAAACCCACCAAATCATGTCTTTATGGAGATGGTTTTGTGCACCTGAATTTAGGAGGGATGTCCACATACTTTTGGCCATATAATGTACCTATATGTGAAACACCCGGTAACGGGTGTGTTTAATCGTCGGGTCTTTTCTGCCCATGCGTGCCCGCTAGGGGGCGCGCGCGAGCAGAAAAAAATTGCCGTCTGGAGACGGCAACCCGCAGATGTAGCAGTGCCGTCCGTCCGTTTTTTTACTACGGGCGGACGGCAAGAGGTTAAACAAAGAAAGCTGAACTCCAGTCCTGAGAAATATACAGCTCTGCCATACAGCACAGCCAGGTGGATGACACTACTCATGGTTAAGGGATGCAGTGGTGTCCCCTCTCCATCCCTAGCCTGCTGTCTAGACTAAGAAAGAGCAGCAGTGGCATCACTAAAATGGCCGCTGGAAGGAATCACCAAGATGATAAAGTGAACCTGTTTGTTTGCCTTGCATAGGGACTTGTGTAAAAGGGACTTTGTGACAAAATTGCTTTTCCCCATATATTGCAAAGGCAGCTTAAGGATATCTAAAGCCAAACCCTTTTTGTTTGTTTGTTTTATATAGACTATACATTGATTAAATCTCCGTTCTTTGCCATCTCCCATTGGCAAGAATTAACTTTACTTCCTACGCCACAGACACAACAAGAAGTGAGAGGAAGTCTCCCCAAAGTAAGATATTCCCTCTTAGACAATCATCACCAAAAGCCCCCACTGGAAAATTTCTGCTTTATTCCTTCACTTTCAGTAACAGTTACAATGAGAGAGGGTAAACCTTCCCAGTTGGGAAACAGTGAAAAAAACAGGGGTACTTATCTTAAAGGAGAACTATGAGGTGAGTGCTTCTCACTCACCTCATAGTTCTAGCCGACCTGTGACAATGAGACTGTCACAGGTCGGCTCAGTAGATCGGGAGGTGAGCGAACATATACCGGCGTTCGCTCACCTCTCGATCCTGTCCACAAGGACGGTACAAACAGCGTTCTCGGATATGGCCTGGGGAATGTGTGTACCTGACTAGCCTGCAGCCCTGGAAGACAGGAGGAGTGCCTGTGCTAGTGAAAACCAAAAAGGACAAAAGTGAGGGCGCAAAGCTAAGGAGGGTTATCTGGTAGTAGATAAGGAGGATTATCTAGCTGGGCTGAATGTTGCCAAAGAAAAGGCAAATGAAAAGGTGTACTTACTGGTGTGGGTCCGAGGATCGGATGAGGACCGGTCTGTGGGAGGATCGTGAAGTCCAAGATGTGTGTTCTCAATGGAGGCTGGTGTACTACCTGAGGCTACTCATCTCGAGCAGGCGAGAGACGGAGAGGGGGGAGGGGTGGGGCGGGTGGCAGCACTGAGATATTGTCCGGATCCCCGCTGCTGTGATGTGAAGTTCCGGCGGTGTACACAGGCAGTGTTTGACTGGGCTGCTGTGACTGCAGCTGTGGGCAGTGCGGCTGAGTCTTTGTGTGAACCGGGGCCCGACAAGTGCCCGAGCATTAATAATGTGGTGGGTTAAAGTCAGCCGGGAAGCCGACGAGGTGATGGGTGATCAAGTCGGTGTAGTCAAGGTGGAGGATCGGGAGCAACGCGTTTCGAGGTTAAGACCTCTTTCTCAAGCTCAACAGCCGCACTGCCCACAGCTGCAGTCACAGCAGCCCAGTCAAACACTGCCTGTGTACACCGCCGGAAGCTGTAGGAGGACGCTAGTTTGGAGAACTATGGGGAAAAGCCTTAACCCCATAGTTCTCCTTTAACCTACTGTAT